TACAAGCCTAATATGCAAATTGACCGAATGGTAGAATGACTGGTCGCTGTGATGCTCACTGACCACCAGGGGACAGAAGTGCAATGCAGGAGCTACCCTTGGTGGTCAGTGTGCTCCCACAGGGAGAGCACCACTCAGCCAGAAGCCCTGAGCCTCTGCGGCGGCGGCAGCACTAAGGATGTCTGACTGCCTAAGCCATCAGTTAGACATCCCCCAAGGGCTCCTGGACTGCAATAGGGCTCAGGCTGGGCTAAGGGACCCACCTGCGTGCACGAATTTTGTGCACCAGGCCTCTAGTATATATATATATAAAAGTCTAAGCAACCACCTGACTGTTCGGCCCACCGATAGCTATGATGTGCACTGACCACCAGAGGGCAGACGCTCAACACAAGAGCAGAAACCACAGTCATGGAAACATGGAACAAACTGATGAATCTCAGAGGAAAGAAGGGAGAGGAGAGGGCGGGAAGAAATTAACCAAAGATCTTATATGCATACTAGAGGCCGGGTCATGGATTCGTGCACCGGTGGGGTACCTCGGCCTGGCCTGTGCCCTCTCACAATCAGGGACCCTTGAGGGGATGTCAGAGAGCCAGTTTTGGCCCATTCCCCTCAGGCCAGGCCATGGACCCCACCAGTGCACGAATCCATGCACTGGGCCTCTAGTTGAAAAATAAAAAATTACTCAAAATTTAAAAAAAAAAACAGCCCCCAAATGGAGTCAGCTGTGTTAAATTCCATGTCACCAAACAGAGACTGAATTACAGTTCAGCTCTCCCAGAAATGGAATTTTAAATCAGTTAACTAGGAATCACTTGATCAGCACAAGTTACGTAATCTGCCTGACAGACTTCTTCCATCCCCTAAGGAAAGTAACTTTGCAATAATCAACTCACTTCTTTGCCAGTATAAATTCCTTTTTCCTGCTTTCTTCTGTGTATAAAAGTCTTTCACTTTGTACAGCTCCTCAGAGTTCCTTTCTATCTGCCAGATTATATGCTGCCCAATTCGAACTGATTTTTGCTCAGATAAACTCTTTAAAATCTTATGCCGCTGGGGGAAGGCAAAGTGTGCCAAACCCAAAATGTGGCTTTTGAGGGATGTTAATTATTTTAAGCTGGTTATTGGTACAAACTTAAAAGTGCAGGAAACACCTTTGCCCTTCCCCTTAAACGACCTAAAAGAATTGGTAGAGAGCCTGCACCAGGAAGAGAGCTATCATCACAGATAACCACAGTTTAATATGAACTCAGTGTGATAGACAGGGAGGAAGCTAGCAAGGCCCATTGGATCAAAGTCCTCTCTGTGGCCCCTTGTTGAAGATACTCCAGCAAACATTTATTTATCAAACATTTGCTTTTTCATCTCCATGTGAATTGCCTTCCAAACCACACCACTCCCCTTTCTCCTTAGTTCAAGGTGTCATATAAGCCTCAACTGCCAGATCTGTCCTGGGATCTCATATTCTTATGAAATCCTCATATGTGCATACTTAATAAAGCTGTTTGTTTTCTCCTGTTAAATGTCTCCTGTCAATCTGATTGTTAGACTAGCCAGAAGAATTTAGAAGGGTAGAAGGAAAATTATTTTTCCTGCCCCATACCTCAGTTTATCTTTTGACACAGCTGAAGATTTCAGAAGGCATTTTTCCTTTTAAGGTTTTGGGAAAGTCTCTATTATGTCTTCCTGGGGGAGGAGGAATAGACACTAGTGTAATTTACGTGAAGAGATAAATATAATCTGTCTATATTTCATCATAAACCTAGTGGAACTAATTCTTTACCATCGGTGACTACTGCAGGATTTTGCCAGTCCTGCTTGCCCTCACACCATTCTTCGGCTTTCCCTGATAAGCTCTCTCACGGGGACTGTGTTCCGTGGGCCCAGGCTTCCAGCTGGGTTTGACCAATGGTGAGACTGGAGGCTAGAAGAGTGGAAGGGGGATAGTAAAGAAGAAGGAAGCCTTCCATTTTACTCAGTAAATGGGGTGGAATTCTAAATGTGCTGCCTCCAGAACCAAAGAAATCTATGAGGTGTTGTGTGCCTTCTTAGTGGTGGGAGGAATAACTGCAATAATTTGTCCCTTGCTTTAGAGGGAATGTCCCAGTATACCCAGACTACTGGACTTCTAAAACTTTGAAAAGCCTCTATCATGTATTCATAGGGGGTGTGTGGGGAGGGGGCAGAAATAGACACTAATTTAATTTATTTGAAGAGATAATGAGCAGTGGTATCTCCCATCCTCTGGAGTATAGGTATCTTTCCAAAATCACCAACATGCTTGTTACTCCTTGCCCATCAAGTCTAAAGAAGCCTTAAGTATAATGAACCAACATTATATTCTGCATCTCCAGGTGGTCCAGATCCCTTTAAACTATATTATGCCAGAGGATGGAAAGTTAACATAGCCCTAGAACAACATAAAAGTATTCTGGTGTGTCCATCCCACGGAACGCAAACTGCTTTGTATTCTCTGTTCTTATCAGGATGAAAAAGAATGCATTCATCATGCCAACAGACTGTTCCAGAGACCATGATAATCTCTGGCAAGGATACATCTGACACAGCAGACTTCACTATTGATCTCTGAATCTGAAAACTGACTCCAATACAGAAACTAGCATCACAGCTTCTTCTTTGGAGAGCTGCCCTCCGCCTCCTGATCATCCATTCTTGATTTTTTATTTTATAGATTGAGCAACACTCAAAATGCTTATTGGTTGTCCATTCATATTGCCCCGAGACACACAATCTCTTAGCCATCTTCATAGCTCCCTCTGTCAGACTCACCTGAGTGATCATTCTGCCTTTCTGCCTAGGATAATTGCACCTACTTTGCTTCTGATGGTTTTAGTCCTACCACTGGTCTCTTACTTTTTTTAAATAATATATTTTTATTGATTTCAGAGAGGAAGGGAGAGGGATAGATAGACAGAGACATCAATGATGAGAGAGAATCACTGATGGGCTGCATCCTACACCGGGGTTGCAGGCATGCGCCCTGACCAGGAATTGAACTGTGACCTCCTGGTTCATAGGTCAGTGCTCAACTATTGAGCCACGCCAGCTGGGCCCATTTAACCCATTCTTAAATGTACAGTTCTGTGGCAGTAAGTACATTCACATTGTTGTGCAGCCATCATATCTTTCATCTCAACAACACTTTCATCTTCTCCAACTGAAACTCTATACCCAATAAACTCTAACTTCCCACCCTCCCTCTCCCTAGCCCCTGATAATTACATTCTACTTTCTATCTCTATGAATTTGACTACTCCAGCTACCTCATGTAAGTGGACTCATACAATATTTGTCCATTTGTAATTGGATTATTTCACTTAGTATATCTTCAAAGACCATGCTATGTTGTAGCATGAATTTCCTTTCTTTTTGAGGCTGAATAGTATTCCATTGCATACATATTCCACATTTTGTTTATTCACTCATTCATCAATGGACTTTTGGGTTGCTTCTACTTTTAGGCTATTGTGAATAATGCTACTATGAATATGAGTGTACAAATGTTTAAGTTTCTGCTTTCACTTCCTTTTGATTATATATTTGGAAGTGGAATGGCTGGCTCTTATAGTAACTTTATGTTTAATTTTTTGAGAAATTGCTACATCGTTTTCAACAGTAGCTGCACCATTTCACATTCCTGCCAGCAATGGACAAGAGTTCTAATTTCTCTACGTCCTTGTCAACACTAATTTTCTATTTTTTTCTAGTAATACAGCCATCCTAATGAATGTGAAGTGGTATCTCATTGTGTTTTTAATATGCATTTCTCTGATGATTAATGATGTTGCATATGTTTCATTTGCTTATTGGTTATTTGTTTATCTGCTATGGAGAATGTCTATTCAATTCTTTTGTTCATTTTTAAATTAATTTTTTTTGTTAAGCTGTAGGAGTTCTTTATATATTCCAATTATCAACCCCTTATCAGATATTTGATTTGCAAATATTTTCTCCCATTCCATGGGTTGCCTTTTGACTATTGGTAAATATCTTTTGATGCACAAAAGTTTTAATTTTGATGGAGTGGAACTTGCTTATTTTTTCTTGCCTAAGTTTTAGTGTCATATCCAATAAATCACTGCCAAATCCAATTATCATGAAGATCTTCCCCTACATTTTTTTCTATGAGTTTTATAGCTTTAGCTCTTATGTTTAGGTCTTTCATCCATGTTGATTTGATTTTTGTATATGGTGTAAAGTAAGGGTCCAAATTCAGGGTTTTTTTGCATGTGGATATCCAGTTTTCCCAACATCATTTATTAAAAAAAAAACCACCCATTTCCCATTTAAGTCTTTACACCCTTGTTGAAAATCATTTGACCATATATGTGAGAGTTTATTTCTGGGCTCTATTCTCTCCCATTGGTCTATATGTCTTATCTTTATTCCAGAACCACACTGTTTTTGATAACTGTAGTTCTGTAATAAGTTTTGAAATTGTGAATTGTGAGACCTCCAATTTTGTTCTTCTTTTTCAAGATTGTTTTGCCCATTCAGGGTCCCTCTATATAAATTTTAGAATGGATTTTTCTATATCTGCAAAAGCTGTTGAGGTTTTGATAGAGGTCACATTGAATCTGTAGAACACTTTGAGGATTGTTAACATCTTTTTAAAAAAATATATAGTTTATTGATTTTTTTACAGAGAAGAAGGGAGAGGGAGAGTTAGAAACATCGATGAGAGAGAAACACCAATCAGCTGCCTCCTGCACACCCCCTACTGGGAATGTGCCCACAACCAAGGTACATGCCCTTGACCGGAATTGAACCTGGGACCCTGCAGTCCCCAGGCTGATGCTCTATCCAGTGAGCCAAACCAGCTAGGGCGATTGTTAACATCTTAAATAAGGAAACTTTTTAATGACAAGTTTTATATCTTAATTGTGATAATACACAAGTGGTATACTTTTCAAAATTCATAGAACTATATACGTAAAATGAGTATATTTTATTATATGTCAAGTATATCTCAATAAATTGATTAAAAGCTTTTAAAAGATACCATAGATCAGGTGCTGGAGAAGCCTGTGTCAATGGAGACCAAAGGAAAAATAGGGCCCCAAGAAAAGCCTGTTCTGTTTAGCCAAAGAATCTAGAAAGGAGCAGCCTAATGAGACAGAACGCTGGACACAGTGACAGGCCATTAGGCCTCTCCCTATGGAACCAACATAACATATTTTTTCTTGATCTTTTTGGATATTTTATTCTCTGAATTTCTTCTAGATTTTCAGCTACCTCTTCTAAGTCTGTCCTAAGCCTTAGTGTCTTCTAATTATCAGTAGGCTTCAGCCTCATTTAAATGAAAGTAATTTATTTCATTTGGTCCCCACTATCCAAAATTCCAAACTCACAAGCAGGCTCTAAATTATTCTTGCATCTCCAGGCCTCCTTACATTTGCTCATGTAGTTCACATTTCTCCATCTGCCAAAATCCTTGTCAACCTTCAAGTCCTAACTGAAGAGCTCTGTTGAGCTTTCTCAAATCTCCCAATTAGAATAAATGCCCCTTCTTCTTTTGTGGGCTTGCTTCATTATGCCCCCTGCAGTAAAAGCCAAGGTCCTTTGTATATATAAAAGCCTAAGCAACCAGTCGACAGTTTGACCTGTCAACCAGTCGCTATGATGCGCACTGACCACCAGGGGACAGATGCTCAATGCAGGAGCTGCCCCACGGTGGTCAGTGCACTCCCACAGCGGGAGTGCTGGCCAGCTGACCGAAGGGCACCGGATGCAGGGCTCATGGCTGGCTGCCCGCAGCCCAGAGACCGCAGCTGAGCAGCAGTGAGCCTACTGGGAGGCAGGCCCAGTGGGGCCGGGATGAGCATAAGCGTCAAGCAGCTTTGGACTGCCAGTTTTGGTCGATCCCTGCAGGCCAGGCCGAGGGACCCCACCAGTGCACAAAAGCACCAGGCCTCTAGTACTCAAATAAAATCAGAAATGGAAAAAGAGATTTTATAATTGATGCCACAGAAATTTTTAAAAAGATCATAAAAGGCTTCCATGAACACTTACACATCAACAAATTTGCATAAACTAGAATGGATAAATTCCTAGCAACATACAAACCTACCAAGACTAAATCATAAAGAAATAAAAAGTCTGAACAGATCTATAACCTAGTATAGATATTGAGTCAGTGCTCAAAACTCTCCCAAGAAAGAAAACCCCAGGGTCAGACGGCTACACTGGCGAATTCTATCAAACAGTTAAAGAAGAATTAATGTTGCCCTGACCAGTGTGGCTCAGTTGGTTGAGCATCATCCTGTGCACTGGAAGGTCGCTGGTTTGATTCCCAGTCAGAGCACACAATCAGTTGGGGTTTGACCCAGGTTGGGGTGGGGGGGAGTCAAATGCTGGATGTTTCTGGCACATCAATATTTCTCTCTCTCCCTCTCCCCCCTGCTCTCTTTAAAGTCAATAAAAACATTTTAAAAAAGAAGAATTAATATCAGCCTTTTTCAAATTCTTCCAAAAAATTAGAGGGGACACTTCCAAACTCATCTTATGAGGCCAGCATTACCCTGAAAACAAAGACACCACACGAAAACAAAATTACAGGCCAATGTCCCTGATGAATAGAGGTGCAAAATCCTCAACAAAATACTAGCAAACTGAACCCAGCAGTACATTAGAAGCATCACATTAAAAAGATCAAGTGGGATTGATCCTTGTGATGCAAGGATGGTTCAGCATATGAAAGTCAATTAATGTGTTACACCTCATTAACAGAATAAAAATCACATGATCATCTCAATGGATACAGGAAAATCATTAGACAAAATTTAACACCCTTTCATGATAAAATAAAAAACTCTCAACAAAGTAGGAATAAAAAGGAAATTGCCTCAACATAATAGAGCCCAACAAGTGTTTTTGCATGATTGTGAAGAAACTGAAACTTTTGCACAGTGTTGGTGGAAATGCAAAATGGTACACTGCTATGGAAAACAGTATGGAGATTCCTCAAAAAATTAAAAATAGAACTACCATATGATTCAGCAATCCCACTTAATGTTGGAATTTTATCTGCCTCCAAAACAGAAAGTTAAAATCTTTCATGTAACAGATAACGCTGCAGTAAAGCCAGGATTCCTCTTTACGCTGCTCACTGTCACCCAGGGCAGTACATGAATGTCACAGCAAAACACTATTGGGAAAGGTTTACAAGGAATCAATGAAAAGATAGGGATTTAAAGGCCAACCTGCTACTTACGGTCAAATGAAAACCCACAGAAGACCTGGAGCTATTTCAACTAGTGATGTTGCCAGAGTCTGGCCTGGAACTAAAATGCCTGGGAAAATGAGAAGCATAGATACGCCAGCATACGGACTGGAAGTATGGACACAAGGACAATAAAATGGACGCAAAAAATGTTCAGTAACGATCAGAGAATCTAAACCGCCTGCATATAAGGATTTCTGTGAAAATTTACTAGTCCCTATGTGTTTTTCTTGATGAAGATGAAGAGGACCAACCAGAAAACTTTTATGATGAAAATATAGGGGACTGTCTAGGGCGGGGGCGGGGGGGGGCACATATGTAATAAACTTTGTAATACTTTAAGCAATAAAAAAAGACACATATGTAATACCCTTTGTAATACTTTAAGCAATAAAAAAAAAAGAAAATATGTGTCAACCTAGTGTTCCTTCTATTACATCTGCCTAATCTCACTGGACATGGCAGAACCTCCTATATTCTGTGAACTTTCTTAAGCCAGAAAGAAAAGTAAGATAATCAGGAACTATATCCTACTTTCTTAATCAAAGTAACACCACAC